TGTTGGAGTTTGAATTGATTTGAATTCATGCATGTTTGCATGTTCTTCATGTCTTGAAAAGTGTTTGAAAATTGAGGTTGAATTAAACACCCTTGGGCTCTTGATTTCTCAAATTGAGTAAAACATGTTGTGCTATATGTTTATAAATGTTTTCCAGAAAATGAGCCCAAGAGGAATCGGTTTTGATGCATTTTAGCTTGAGTGTTTGAGCTTGGAGGTGCAATCTGAATTCCCAGATTTCGCCCTTCCCGCTCGAGCGGGGAAACTTGGCGCTCGAGCGGAGAATCCGAGCATCCAGTATCTCTGCACTGTTTTACAGTACGCTCGAGCGGGAGGATTGGGCGCTCGAGCAGAATCATGTTCACGCTCGAGCGGGGGTCGAGCGGAGATTTCACCCATTCAGTACTTTTACAGTACGCTCGAGCGGGAAAGTTTACGCTCGAGCGTGTACCTTTGTTGCATGTCCGCTCGAGCGGGGAAATCTGCACTCGCGAGCGGGACTCTGTTTTTCTAAAATGCTTTTAATATAATCTTTTGCATCCTCATCCATTCTAGCATTCTTAGGCCTAGTTTAAGACATTTTGTTGAGGGATATAGAATGTAGAACACACCGAGGCAAATTAGGGATTAAGTCATGTTATTTTTCCCAACTGTGTAGCTTAGTGTGTTCAACCTGTTTAACTGTGTAGGGTTGGCGACTGGAGAGACACGCTCTAGCATACCGTAGCCCGAACTCTGATGAGTAACAATTGTGTAAAGACTATGTTCAAATGAATATCTCTGAATACTGAACTGAACTGTTTACTGAACTGATACTGTTTACTGAATGAATGGTATGTCCTATATTCTGAACTGTATTGTGGCATCCTTAGCACCTACTGTTTTACTGTTACTGTACTGTTACAGAGATCTCTGTCGGTTCTCGTGGAGCCACTACTGTTTACGGACTGATGGCCATCATTATGTTCGGTCTTTTAAGGCCCTACTGTTACTGTTTATGCTCAATGGATGTACCACATTTATGACTGTTTACTGTACTGAACAACTGAAATACTGATTGAATCGAACTGTTTTCATTACTGTAAGGACATTCATTTCTAACCCCTTTACGCTTTATGTTATTCACTGGGCTTAGCTCACTGCTCATATATATATGTAGGTGTTCAGGCACCAGACCGCAGCTAGGAGCGTCAGAGAGTGTCCCAGTTTTGTCAAGCCAGCCTATGTGCCTCACTGCGAGGTTCCGAGCCTATCTGCTAAGGCTTAGGGGTGTTTTAAGAATTCCCCCTTCTGTACTGTTTCACTATTTTGTATAGACGTGACTGTTCACTGTACCCGCTATCTAGGTGAGTCCCTAGTTTGAATGAATGTAAATATTGTGCAACTGTTCTGTACTGTTTATGTATGAATGCATGAAAAATCTTTTGGCATACAGACTGTCACAGCTCATTTGGACATTGTTTAATTACTGTATTGGCTTCCGCCAGGCCCGTACTCTGTTTTTACTGGTATACTAGTTCTGGCAGGCCTTCGTAATCTACAGATTACTGGCCGGTTACGATGCTAAACCCATAGGGCCGGGTTTGGGTCGTGACATATTTACCTTCAAGAACACCAATCCCATCTTCTACTATTCAAATATCAGAAGAGAATGAATCCTATGGGGTCCTGTGGGGTTGAATCAATGTAATGATGTTTTTTTAGGTTAAAAACATCATGGACTGCAAAGCTTATGTAGAATAATATCATGCAGAGTAAATTCCTCAAGACCCTCAAAGTAGTGAAATTTTGTTTGAAATTGCTATGTTAATTGCTGTCCAAGTATATCTTGGATTCTTCACTATGAATTGCTGCGCTAAATTTTTTCTAGTAAAAATAGAGCAAGATGTCTACTGTGGTTGTAAATTTCCTTTTCTTTTTCTTGTTACTCTTTTATTACACAAAAGTTGCAATAAATCAGTTTGAACAAAAATTAGAATTCTTGCCATGAACAAAACTTTGAATTCTTCTATTATAAGGTATGGGGAACGCTAATGGACTGTGAGATTGGTCCGCTGATTAGTTGGTCCAATGGACAGGATATCGAGTTATAAAAAAAAAAATGATATGGGAAATTTTTTTCTTCTATCATGAATTCAGGAATGAACAAAAATTAGTCTAATCTCATCATCCCATAGTCTACAGAAATTAGACTAATATCTCTGCCACATTGATATGATTCTTCCCTTTTTATGCATAGCATAGTGAGCCCAAAATAATCTCTCTCTTTTTTTCTTTTTTTGTTAAAGGAGTAAGATCCAAGATCCTATATGATATTATCATTAGCACTGTAAGTGTGGTGTCGAAAAATCTACGAAAAAGATAATAATAACAATAATAAAGCATTAACTTCATATGCAACCTCTTCAGCAGTAGATTGTTTTCATCTGATTCCCTATGATGAAATTTATCCATGATCACATTTCCCATATCTCCGGCTCATTATCACAAGAAATCATTGGATGTACTTGGAATGTCACGTGACCTTAATATTGTATTGTGGTATTCCTACAACACGTGCACGTGTTGATCCGTGAACACCCAATAAATTCTTCGATTATATTATGACATTATCATTGGTAGACCATGAAAATGAAAGCAAATATCATGACATTATCACATATATGGTCTAGTTTTTGTTTTAACATTTTTCCCAATAATTTTTTCATTTTCCCTTCTGCTTTGTGAAAAAAATTCTCTCCATCGACACACATTTATCAACATGACAATTTAAGACCAAGAAATTGGGCGTGGTTCATTGCCTAGTTTTAAGAACAAATAGTAACAATGAAACAATGAATAGAACTAAAAAAAAATATTCAATCGACTTATACAATGAATGATTTAATCACTATATACAAAGGCATTAATATAATTCATAGTAACTTTCATATTCATGATGGAAATAAGATGGCATTATCACCCAAAATTTACTATAAAATGGATCTTGACTGCATTAAAATGATACATTAACTTAGCTACTACTAGCATTAGATATGGTACTTCCCCTGCTAACCCAATTTTGCCTCAAAGAATTAGGCGAAAGGGTTGGTGGATCACTCTTCAACAACACAACATCATCTGCTGGTATGTCCATCTCGTCAGCAACCTTCCTATCATAACCCACACTGCTGATTTCCTTCAAAACCTCCAACACTTCTTTCATCGATGGCCTCATATCGCTCTCATTTTGCAAACATTGAAACGCCAGCTCAGCAACCACCTTGATCATCTCTGTCACCTTATAATCCGAGTTAAACCCAAGACACGGGTCAACAAGCTCATGAAGTTCATGATTTTGAATCTTATTAATCGCCATATTAGACAAATTAATTTCATGGCGATGCCGTGTAATGTCCACAGCTGGCTTAGACGATATAAGCTCGATCAAAACAACTCCAAAACTATAAACGTCACTCTTATTAGTAAGTTGGTAGCATTCATGGTACTCGGGATCCACATAACCCGGAGTACCTTGTGGGGCCGTGGACACATGGGTCACATCAGTTGGGAAAAGACGAGAAAGCCCAAAATCAGCAACTTTAACGCAAAAACTATTGTCGAGCAAGATGTTGTTAGTTTTGACATCGCGGTGAATGACGTCAGAAGCATGGAGGTAAGCCAATGCGCTAGCAGTTTCGAATGCAATGCTCATTCTTGTAGTCCAAGAGAGGGAACCGGGCTTTGCGCGGTCGCCGTGGAGGTGATCGGCAACAGTGCCATTGGGGATGTATTCATAGACGAGGAGGAGCTCGCGGCAGTGGCGGGAGGTGAAGCCGTAGAGAGAGACGAGGTTTGGGTGGCGGAGGCGGGTGAGGATCTCTATTTCGTTCATGAATTGTTCCACTCTTTTGAAATTGTGTTCGTATAATCGCTTCACTGCAACTACACGCCCGTCTCGAAGTTTGCCTGGTTAAGATTATATGAAAAAAGTGGTTGATCTCAATCAAATGGGGCATGTAAGTATGCTTTTCATTACAATAAACCATAGGAAAGAAAGGGAAATTCTATAATATACAACTCAAGAAACTAAATGTGTCATATGCTCCCAGTTATGAGTTTTTGTAATTTTTTATTATGATTCATTAAAATATTGGTTAGCGATACAGTTTGTTTGAAATTAAATCAAATTGACTCAATTTAGAACTTTGTGTACAACTTTTACAAAATTGAAACTTAGACAACCCAAGTGACACAATGCAAAATATTTTATCTTACAAAATATTTCAAAAAAAAGGTAGCTTGTGAGGACTGGACGGTCCAATGTAGGCTTGTGGGCTCTCTAAGGGGCCTCAGTTCGATGATTTATTAATAGTCTGCCTATGTAGATTATCCACACAAGTGCGCACGCGCGCACATACACCCAAAAAAAAAAGGATTAGTCTAATAATTTTAAGCATAAGATTTCATTACATTAGTTTTAAAAACTAGGGATGATAAATGTGATTTTGTGGTCAATAACCAAGTAAGATCCCAGATCGCCGGAGGAGTCAAATTAGCCTCCCTTCTAAGTCCAGCTTTCTTACGCAGCGCACTACCATTTTGACTGATCTTAAAAGGTATTGACACAAGGTTTCATAAGCAACGATAAGGTTCATACATATATATATATATATATATATGTATATATAGAATATGATACTGCCAACACTGTATTCATTAAAAAAATGTTGAGTTTGTAAGATAGTTTTGAGTTGATAAATACCTTGGTATACAGTGCCAAATCCTCCATCTCCTACTTCTTTCTTGGAATCAAAATTGTTGGTGGCTTTTTGGAGTTCATTATAGCTGAAAGTTTGGACTCCATAGTAGCTTGCTTCCTTTTCAATATCATTCATTGAAGATGTATGAGAAGTGTATTGAGATATCCAAGACGATGTCGCATTGTATTTTTTGTTCCTGCGATGATAGATGATGCAAACAATAGCCACCACCACAATAGCTCCCACTGCCCCAAGCCCTGCATTGGAAGAAGAAGAAAAAAAAATCCAAGTGAGAATATGCTCTATAACAAGAAGTATAGACAATTATTGGCACAAAAATCAATCATAAAATCAAACAGAATTTATCCAAGTGAATATAATTTTGAACAAATTACATTTGTAGTAGTACTTGCAATTTACTTTTTCTGTCAATTTGGTCATTGCAGTTCTAATTGTATCAATATTACTCTCGATTTTTTTACGTTATGTTAGTTTAGTCTCTCTTTAGAAATTAGATGGATCAATGGATAAAATAGTCCATTCACTATCTTCAAAGTAATTGAGTTATTGTTGAATTTGATTTGGTTCATTCACTTTTACTGGTCCATTCCCTTTTGAATTCACTTCACCTTTAATTTTTGTCTAATTTTTTAATAGATGTTATTAATTTGTCTAAATTGATAAAATGTCAAAAATTAAAGATAAAATTGATATAATTGAAACTACATTGACCAAATTAGTTTAAGAGACAAATTGAAAGAATCCCATGTATAATTTGCCTTACAATTTCTTTACATGTAAATACTAATTTTTCTAAAATTTTGTTCATTTTTATATATATTTTATATTTGATTATGTGATCAATTTCTAGAATGTAAAACAATAGATGAAACTTAATGGGTGGGGCATATTTACCTATCCCAAGCGCTGTTTCCCACCTCATACGCACTGTATATGATCATGAAACATGATAAACCATTAGTACAAATATTATCACAATGCAAACTCTAATAGTGGAATATATGAGAATTCTGATGTAATCTCTACCCTAATTTTCATTTTAATGGTCTACTTGTAAAAATTTACTTATATACATAAAAGAAAGAAAGAGCGAATGGACACAAGATTAAGGATACAAGTTCTTGCCTGCAGGACTAAAATTTGCACCAAGAAAGAAAGAAATAATTGAAAAATGTTGGATACACAACACGACTCTACAACCACTCTAAAAACAGGCATGCGGACCGTGGATGGATCTAGACGAATGTCATAAAAAAACATAAGTGGATTATTTTTTAAACAGCAATTGATTTTAGAAAAGATAGTGAAACATGGTCCGACCAGAAAGAATGATAAAAAGGACTAAGTTTCACTACGCTTACCGTCGTCACAGGTTTTGGAATGTTGTTTATCAGAGCAAAAACAGGTAAATTTGTTATTAATAGAACCACAGTTCCCTCCACTTCTCTTGCAATCACTACAATAAACTTCACTCCATTCCAAAACAAACCCTCTTCTCAAAACATCAGTGAAATTCATTTCCAACAATTTCTTGATATCTCCACTCTCCACAGGCGCATTCACCCAAGAATTGCACGAGTCAATCGAATAATTCTCATACTCCAAAACCTCCTTGTGAAAAACAGCAAATGATAAATCGGTAGCATTGCTTGCACAAACAACTCGATATGTCGGTTCTTTGATAGGATACGTTGAACAATTGTAGAAGAAGAAGAGATCGGCATAGCTAAGAGTATAGTTGTATGGAGTTCCCTCAATGCTAAAATTATGCAGAGGAATTGGACAAGTATTTTCAAAATCATAAACCATGGAATTGGCCAAGAGAAATGAATTATTGGTGTAGAATATTTCTTCAATGACATAATCATCATCGGATATCGCAACAACCGGGTTTCCGCCATTGCAAGTGACCTCAAAGTTTGGTTGGCCACAATAAGACTCATGCAAATTAGTAATCCAAAAAGGGTAACTTATATTTGGACCATTCCCACAATTTCGAGGCATACAGGCCTCAAAATTTGGGTCTACAGATAGAGTTTCATTTGCGAAAATGGAAAATATGATGAAAATGACAATAAAATGGAAAGATTTGTTGAATTTGAGATGCATTTGGAGAAGAAAAACAAGGGAGGCGAGAAAACAGAGGAAAACAGGGGAGGAGAGGAGAGAGGTGTGAAAGTGGAGGAGAGAAGCATTTGTAGAAGAATTACCTATGTGTTGTTTTGTTGTTTTGGGTTTAATGATTGGGAGGTTTGAAAATGTTAGCTTAGTTGCACAAGAAAGACAAACTTTAGTTCAAGCAAAAGCAAGTGTCTTGCTTTTCTTCAACTACCTCTAAAGTCAGGGATAGAACAGAGTACAATCAATGGGCTTTAATTTCAACCATTTCATATGTACATGACCTTGGATGCTTATATTAAAAGTTATGTGTTTTGAAAAAATAAATATTATGAAAATTGTGTAAAAAAAAAAATGTATGGTGAAATTCAATAATGGGGTATGATGAGTCACATCAAAAAAATAGATACGATCCACTTATTTAATTTTTTGAGTAATTTTTTTTGTGTGTGTAATGTTATCAATGTTGTTATTAACTTGATTTTTGTTAATTGAATACATAATTTTTAAAATTGTCAAGTAAACGGCTTTTGACCTCGTATGGTTAGCTTAATCTAGATTTTAACAAAATGAGCGGTGATTGCGTACAAGTCTTTTAAATATTTAATATTGAACAAATTTTTTTATTGTGTATTCAACGGTTAACATTCTCGAGTTGCTTGAAGATTTAATAATTTGTCAATATTCAAATTCCAAGTCATTAGAAGATTGCTGTAAAATCAGTATATCAAATCGATAATTTGTTATTTGGTAAGAGTAGAATTAATTAAAAGAAAAAATTTAGAATACTTAAAATATGTAAAATAAATTTAAATATGATATTATGTAAACTACACCAGAATGAATCTGACCTGCACAAATTTTTTTGACAGCTTTTGATTCGACTCTTTTAATCCCTAGCATTGTTCTCATTGAAAAGACCAAAATATCCGAACAATTGGAAAATTCAGATGAATATTTGAAAGCTCTGGTAACTTTAACTGGTTGTCAGTAAGTTTGATGAAGATTCGAATATTTCAATGATCCATTGTAGTTCATGGAAGTCATAAAAAAGAGTAAAAAAAAAATAAAACAAAATATCAAGGTGTCGTTTGGTAACACTTACGTTTTTAATTTTTTATTTATATTTATAAAAATTTTAAAAATTCAAATAAAAATTTGTTTGGTAAAATTTTTGATTTATAAATCAGTGGTCGCAGTTTATAAATTTGGCCAAAAAATAAAAATACAAAAAATGTGTTTCTATTTTCAGTTTTCAGTTTTTTTTTTTTTACCACCCAACACTAGCCACCACCCCCCACCATTTTCCACCATCGTCTTCCGCCACCACCACTCACTACCCACTACCACCACCACCCACCACCGGCCACCACCACCACCACCACCCACTCGCTACCACCCGCCACCATCACCCACCCACCTGCTACCGTCAGCCACCACCAGCAACCCACCACCCACCGTCACCACTTTCCACCACCGTCTTTCGCCGCCACTTGCCACCACTTGCCATTTTTCACTCTTTTTTATATTTTTAAAATTTTTTAAACATTTTGTCATTTACGAAACACGTTTGTAGTTTATATTTTTCTAAAAATAAACAAAAAATAAACAAAAACCAGTTTATAAAATTTTTATAAATATAAACTGAAAATGTAAACGTTACCAAACACACCCTATGTATCTGAGTTTATATATATTCATATTGTTTTGATTTCTAGTATATAGATCCTAAAATCTTACATGTGGTATCAGAGCAAGTTTATACTAGAATCAAAATCATGACAGATTATTTCAGTAAAATTATTTTATATAATGATAAGGAATAAATTAATATTTCTTTTACTGAATGATGTTTTTGCATCTCAAAATTGTGCTTTAGTAATTTCAAGCAAACTTTTTCAATGTAACGAGTACATACTGTTTGAGTATTGATAGTTTGCTTCCAATTGTATTATATAAAATAAAAAAAAAATAAAAAAAGTAATTTAGATCTGGTAGTTTTATGAAAATTGTGAAGTATGGACATGTGTATATTGAATCTGTATTGATATATATATATATATATATTTCAAATCTTACCTAATCAAATATTTGCAAAACATATGAAACATATTCGTTTTTATGACTTTTACATAAACATTAAGATTGTTTAAGAGTTCTATATCATGCATATCACTTTGGTGTAATTTTTGTAAATTCATATGCGAATTTTGGTTGGCTGTGAGATATTATTTTTGAGTAACTGTTTAGTAGTGATTCGTAATATGATATTATATATGTTTTGATGGGTTACAAATTGCATTATTGTTAATAAATAAATAAAGTTTTAAAGGTGGACAAATATTTATTTTGTAGTCTCAGTTGGAAGATTTTTGAATCAATATGGGTGATACTGCCGAAGTGGTTAACTTATTGAGATTTAAAGTGATTTACCAATAAGGATTCTGGGAAGCTCTTCTAATATTATATCACTCAATTACCTACCCAAAGGGGGTTAATTGAGTGTATTAATTTTAGAGGTAGTGTGAGCCACTAGTAAGGGAAATTTTATTGATTTTGAAAGAATTTATCTACCCAAAGGAGATAATTTCTTGATAAATCATTCTTGCTAGTTGACTTGTTTATAGGTGTTAGAATGTGTCTTATATATTTAGCCCAAAGGTATTTATATGATGATACATTCTGAAACATCTAACAAGATTGTTAAAGTTTATTTGCAGCCCATTGTTGTGAGATTATAATTATTCCCCATGTAAAATTAATTAAGATTATATTGAAGTTTAAAGATGTTGATTGTATTCTATATATTCAACCCAATGGTGTTTATATAGTGACACCTTCTGGCACATCTGAGAATATTGCTAAAGTTTATTCGCAGCATATTCTTGTGAGATTATACTAATTGCCTATGTATAATTGAAAGTTGGAGTTGTGAACATGCTTTCTATATATTCAGTTTAAAAGTGATATATTTTAAATATTTGAGAATATTAATTGTGATTATGAGATTATTATTGTCTATATATAATTGAATGATATTATATTGAATTGAAAGCAATCCTTCTTGGGACTTCAAAGAAAATCAAATTTACTCCATTAAAGTTTTGATTATGAATCGGTTAAAAGATATTGAGTTAGCTTTAAGACTAACTGATTTAGATATTGATATACTCGAGAATGAATCTTCATCACCATTTATATTAAGACCTCAATATAGTGTGAAAGATTGAAATTATATTCAATATTAACTATTTAAGAAAGTAGAATTTTAAAATATTCACTAGGTGATTCTTATAAGAAAATCTAAATTATACTCTACAATGCTCTATATAATACCTTCGACTTTTACAAACCGTTATCTCTCTTCAGTATTTTATGTTTT